AGTTCTAGGCAAAAATTTCAGTTGCTAGATTAGGATGCATAATTCATATGTCTTAATTTAACACTTCTCCTGATTAAGCTGCCGAGGGGATCAAGAACAACGGTATCCTGAGAAAACTAGGCAGCGGGTATTAAGCAGAAACAGAGAGTTTTTATCAGTCTTTGTAACAAACTAGAAGTGTCGATAGTGTCAAAATGAGAATGAAATTTTTAAATTTAGCCACTTTTGGGTTTTAAGTAAGGAAAGCCGTCATCACAAATCATTTCGCGCAGTTAAGTGCATTATCCACAAGACGAAGTGCCTTATATCTCCAGCACATGCATTCAATTGGTTTGACCTCTCAGGTCTAGTACTGCTCTCATCTCTGACATCCTTTGTCGCATCGGACGCCTTACTTTTCACTAGAGAGTGTTTGCTGCAATATCATTTCAATGATCCATCTGGAAGCAGGAGGCGGCTGCAGTCATTCGACGTCTCCCAAATTGAGTGAAGTTGTTTCTAGGTCTTCATTATGCGTCTCCAATTCTGGGCACTCCATCCTTTAATCTGTTAGGACAACATCCAAGGACTTTGGGAGCAAAAAGTAATTAAATGGTTTGGTTTGCAAAATGCTCACCGTAAAACCACGCACAAAGAGTCTTCCAGGCCCTTTATTGTATACCAAAGATTATAAATTACATTTCTACTTCCAATTTTTGAATTTTTTGATCATGCGGACAGCAGTAGCTCGACTACAACTCCTAGACATCGTTTTCGCAGTTCTGATTTCGCTGCGTGAGACGACCGCGAGTGGTCATCTTCATCAGTCAGCCTTCTAGCTTTCCGTTCGCGTTTGCAAATGTTTGTCCTGGTTGCCAATTAATTTCTTAACAAATTAAAACTAAGATTTATGTTTCTTGAAAATTCAACCAATTTTTTTTTTCTAAAAAACTCTTCGGTCCTATATAGTTATATATATATAATGAAAATGTGAAACGTAAACTTGATTTATTAGTATCTAATGGTGAACAGTCAGTATTCCGATTTCGCTCGCATGACTATGTTGGCATGTCCTGTTTCTGTAATGCGTTTGAATGATTTTATTTGGAATGGCGTTCTCACAGCAGAAACTAGATCATCATCCTGCCAGTTAAAATAGTTGCTCCAACGAGTTTATCCTCCCATTTTGCACAAATAACATTTATTTTAAACTATTGCAGAATAATGAATACTTAAGTAATCTGCCTATTTAGTTTTCTTTATCATCTCCAGTAAAGGATACTCTGAATGGTTAGCATATAAGAAAGATGAGGCTGCCTGTCGTTGCATGGAGAAAAAGTGCCTAGAATGATGCAGCTACTGGTTTGGATGCACAATCCACTTTAGTGAATGCGCGCCCAAAGCGGGGTCGTGATCTCTTCGCTGCACTCTGATCTACACCATCTGGTCCCCTATCTTGGATTTCGGAAAATATTTCTTCCAATTGTATACACCTACTTTAGAAAAAAAACCTTCTTGCTAATTACTGCACCAAGTGGTCTCAACGCCGCCTAGTAATTCTGATATAATTTAAATGCGGGAAACGGGAGGATATGTATTTTTACTTGTGTGAATGAAGTTGTCTATCTCAACTTATTTTGAACAAGGTAAAAGGCATTACTGACTTCACTGCCCAAAACTAGAGGATTATTTGGAATATCGGATATCCACTAAGTAATTGCTAACCTGTTGAAGACATTGCCATCCCACTCTCAATGAATAGAGACTTTGGTTCGCACCTCAACGGGAACGTCTATAGAAGCAAGAAGTGGCTGAAACACAGCAAGAACACGCGTCACGGGTGAAGACGTGGTTAGTGAGTTGCCAGAAGTAGTAGAAATAACGTAACGCAACTGAAGTTATTACGGCCAAAACGGTGTCGGAAGGCATACTTTTCATAAGCGACCATGTATATTGCTCGTAAGCCAGCCGTTTACTTTTCGGATTTCTCAGCAACTGGCTAGTTGATGAGGTACATAGTCTGTGGGATCGCCTTGAAAACCTCCCACCAGATAAGCCATTTAGTCAAGTAATGGCTTAAATGAGAAGGACAGATTTTCAAATACGTAGCTGACCGTAAAGTATTTTTATCTCCTACTTGTTTACCGCATGTTTACTGCGTGAGGAAGAAGGTTTTTGAAATGTGCGTGGCTACATGTACAGAGAGGAGTGAGTGTTCAATAGCATTTGTAGCAGACCTCTCAAGCTGATGTATACGATGTTGACTAGTATTCATGGCGACACGTTAAACCAAATGAAATACGTCATTTAGATGAACAAAGTTCTCAATTATAAAAAAAATTGCCAACATTGAAACATAATTCACATGACAATCGGATAGAAGATTAGCCACATTACAGAAATATAGGGCAAGGTATATTAGGCTTGCATTGTAAATATGCACATTTTTATGATTTTCTAACATTTATTCTCGATATCCCCAATTCCGACTTATCTCCGTGATTGAATGAAAACGGCGTTAATCCTAAAGGTCGTGTTGATAGTACTGTAAGATTCAACTTGAGGCTATTCTAATATTTTTTCGGGTCACTGTATCGCTGTAACTTCAGGCATTAAACAAATCAGCACACTGGGATAATAAAGAGCGGGTATTCATGGTTTGTGCGAAAGATGAAGTTACTATTTCAACAGTAGGGTAATTAATTGAGCCTATAGAAGGCATAAATGATACTGGCATTTATAAAACAAGTGCGTTTTATTACTCAAAAGGCAAACTGGCAGAGACGTGAGCTGCGAACTATGTAAAAAAAGAAGAAGGTGCGGCGATGGTTACTGGTTAAAAAAGACTGAGTAGAAATCTATAATTGCCCTCACTACGTTACATTTCCATAATTGCCCACTAATTACTTAGTAGTACGCATGCTTAATTTTACTACATTAGCGTTGGCTGCGTTCCTAATTACAAATTTACATGGGAATATTTCATTGCACTCTTAAGAGGCAAATGGCTACGGTTCGTAGGTAAAATTGTTTTTTTAAAAACAAGAGTATGACATAAGCTATTCACGTAGTCGGAAATAGGTCTATCACAGTGGGTTAAGCTATTGGAGAAGATCCTCGCCGCTACGGTCTTCAGGTCGTGGTTTCGTGTAGAAAGAGAATATCTGAGACGCCAAGTCGATGGAATAATTTACTCTGTAACATTATCCATTTTAATGGCCATACAGGAGCTGGTTTCTAGTGCTTAATTCTTGTAGACACTTCCTAACTCAGCAGCTCCTAGCTTACCTGCATTCCAAGTAAACTACCAGCACGCTTTTCCGGTCTTAATCTTTATGGTAATTCGATATCAAAAGCTTTATTCCTACACCTTTAAGATATCCCTCTCAACCTTTTGTTGGTGCCGTTCCTTTTGCAAGTATCTCTAGCAAAAATAATTGGCCCTCTCAAACAAACAGTAACTGCCAACTGAATTACTCGCATAAATCTTCTCCTAGCTTACTAAAACCACAATTTCAGTGTTCAATATGCAGTGGATCTCATACTCATAAACGCGATGTCCTCTATCAAAAAGATGGCTTAACACAGAGTTGTTGCTTTCTAGCTATCGCCCGATGCGTACCTGCATCTGGGACCTCTCCCTAAATTTCTGACACTTTTCTTTTCATAGACGAATATGATTTCTACCATCTAGTCCCCATTAGTGTACACTAGGGAGGCACCGCGGTAGGGACACTGTGGCGCCCTCTATTTTCGGCGCCACGCTACGCATCTTATTACGTGATTTCGGATGTTTTCCTGTCGCTGAGACTGCCGATCACAGGAACCGCAAAATGAGCCAAGGCTTAACTTCTTGCCAGTCGCGGCTGTTAGTTTGTGCATCCTTGTAGGCCGACGCCAAATCCATCTGGTCGATCACATTCAAGGGCGCCTCACACAAATGCCACTTTGTAGAGGCTGGAATGATTGCCACGCCAACACACTTTGGACCCGGCCCTCTCGCAGCCGAACGTGCACTCGGCCGACAATCAACTCCTTCTATTCTCCTTCCTTTTTCTCTGTATAGAATAAACTATTCCTTTCTCTTGTTGTCGCACTTATTCTGCTCGCACTAGACAGCGGCAAATTTCTTTCCTGCCACATGATTACCTAAACTAGGCCTGTCCTAAAAAAGCCGTTTAGGCGAACACTAAGGGCTCCGCTGGCCCAATATTAACTAAGAATTACCATCCTTCTTTTATCCTTAGGACATATTAAAGCAGTTTTTTACTGTAATTCATGAAAAAAACTGAGAAAACTCGTTATATGCCAGATTATTTTAGTTCTCCACTGCGGTCTCTGAAAAGACCGCACAGTTTGAAAAATGCGAAGTATGGTCGAGTAGGCTGTCGGAAAACTGTTGACCGAGATTTATCGCTCAAACAATGCCAGATCACGTACCGCGGTATGCGGTACCTTATCTAATCATAGACTTGACTGTAAACTTACTCTTAAAGGAAGACCTTACCTTACTCCTAACTGTACCTATTTTCGAAACCTTATCCATATCTACGTAAAATTATACGAAGCAGTGATTGAAACAATTCAGTGTATGTTCAATTGTGAAACGTCTTTTGCGTATAACCATTGCATTACATTAAATGAACAGTACTTGGTGTTATGCTATCAATTGGCGCAAAAAAAGAACTGCCCCAAAACAACGTATATTTATTGGAAAAATGGCAATGAATGTTGTCTTGGCGGGTAGTAATTTCATATCGTCTAGACGAAGCAGTCAAGCATAAAGTCACTCCATAGGCAAACTGACCAAACACAATAAAAGGCTTGCATTCTGTCTCGATATACCGCCGCTTCACCAATTTTGCACATTCAGCAACGACACACAGCCACACATACACGCTCGAGGTGCGTGGAGAACATAAAGCAAGCGCCAATATTTCAGTGACGCACTCTACATGAACATTTTGTTCAGCACCAAATCACATGGAATTATCTTAACGCTGTGTAGTCAGGAAAGAAAGATGCCAGCGCCAAACGAAGCCCTCCAGCAGCAAGTGGAGTGTCCATTTGGCCTAGAGATCTGCAAAAAACTCCATCGTCTGCCATGCGAACACTTCTTCTACAGAGAACCCTGTCTGCAGAATTTGCTCAATGCAGAACAACCAACCTGCCCAATGTGCTATCGAGATTTCTCCGAGGCGGACTTCACGCCGTTCCGCTTTCTCCTTAAGCTGCTGACACTTATGTCGGAAGCCAACCAATGCGGCGAAGTTAGTCTGCAAGAAAGTCACCAAATCGACACTGTAATATGTCCCATCTGCGTCCAGCAGGTAGAAACCTCGCTGCGGAGGTCAGATCACTTTTCGAAACTGGTGTGCGCCGACTGTTGGAGAACCGGCGGAATACCTCATCAACTGACTATTGAGGAAACCACCGACGGGGAAATTATGCGTACCAGTATCATTGTTAGGGAGAATGAGTTGCAAAAAAGCCAACGGGAGGAAAAAGCGGTGTGTCCCAACTGTGTCCGCTGGGTAGAAACGCCGCTGCAGAGGTCGGAACACTTTCCGGAACTGGTGTGCGCTGACTGTTGGAGTACCAGCGAAATGCTGCTCAAATTTTCTATCCAGCAAACTAACATGGAGGAAATTGGCATTAACGGTGACACAATAAAATAAGTTCCTGTGTGAGCCACCAAACAGGACGGAGTAGGAATGTGTCCAGTCCGTGTGCGTCCAGTATACACGCCGCTCCGGAGGTCGGAGCACTTTCCGGAACTGGTGTGCGAAGAGTGTTGCTGTCCCCGCGAAGGGCTTCATACACTTTATGCTGACAAACCTAGGGAGAACGAAATAAGAAGTGACGGTGACATCATTAAACAAAAGCGATGTGCAAATCAGTCAAAACAATGAGTGAGCAATGTGTCCCACCTGGTAGAAACACCACTGCAGATTATGAAGTACTTTTGGAAATCGGTGTGCAAAAAGTATAAGAACATTGGAGAAACGCTCGGTAGCGCCATCAAAAACAAAAAGCTCCCTGAATCAGGAAAAAATTATGTTTCTTACATTACCTCTTAAAAGAATAAGAGGCATATTCAAGCAAACTAAATCAGTGCATCTGAGGAACCCCTATTTTGCCATAACCTTCTTGATTGAATAACCGAACATAAGGACGCCTCAATCGCACAGTCAGATGAATTAGCCTTTCACGTCCTGTGTTTGTTACAATGTCTCTTTTTCCGGCTTAATGAGTAGACAGAGGTCCTTTGAATCCTAAGTACTTTTCTCACAGAAAGAAATTACAGTTGGGCCTCGGGCGACAAGCCGCCTGGGAATTTTCGGCAACGAGCAAGCCATGTGCAGAATGTTTGTTTTGCTTGGCGAGTTTCCGCTCAATTAACAAATTGTCAACGCGTACTTGTGCTTCAGCCCGCAATTACGACCCAGGGCGTGGGTCCTCGTTTACCTGTGGCCAAGCAGTGAAATGGTGCCCTTTCACATGAGGAGCTCAGTGCTGGCGCGGATTAAACTCCTTATCCGAAATTACATTGTACTCATTTTCAGACTAGATAGGGTATTTGACCAAAACGAAAGCAGTTTACGGTATGTTTTAGGCCTAGGCATAAGTTACTCACCACCAGAACAAGTCAAACGACTTTTGAGAAGTCGTACTTATTCCGTATAATACTTCGAACTGTACAATGAATTATATCCTAACTATCATCTTTGAAACCGGGTAGCGGTTAGTTATATTTCAACGCCGTCGGTTCTGTAGTTTTAACTGAAAACGGCAATACCAAAAGACATAGGGAGCATCAATTCCTCTCTTTGCGAAGCAGGTGACGCAAAGGTAGTCAGCAATCCACATTTTTAAATGACACCGGACGCCAGTCAACTTTTTCAAGGGCCTACGCCAACGGGTGCTTGCAACAGCCGAAGCAGTGGCTATACGGCTAGTAAATCCAATGTTGTGTTGTCAGAAGAAGCTGGCAGAAGCATTTGCACTTCCGTGGCCGACCCCGACGCCAGGTGGCGATCGCATTTTGTCCCCACCCCCCAGTGACAGTCGTTCGCGGCGCGCAAATAACAGCAATTAGCCCTTCATGTATCAGCCCTCTTATCAACTCCCAAAACCTAACCCAATTACCTCCCCTAACGCTCCTCCCCCCTCCCCCAACAAAAGAACCTCTACACGCCGACCTGGCCATTTAGACGACACGTAAACGATGAATTGTAAATAGACTACACTATTTAACCCTGTCCAACTGTACAGTTTTCTTTACCCTGCAAATGATGATTTGCTAAAAACATATGTTTTGATAAACTTGACTTGTCAATTTTTAAATGACTATGGTTTGGCTAACCATTGGGATTGAGGTGATTTAGGGGACATTTGGAGCACAATTGTAGACTTTTTAAAAGACTATGATGATCTTGTCTTTAGGGAAATGGCCTTTTACTCTGCGAGTCACGTAGCGAGGAACTAAACTTGTGGAATGATAAATTTAGCCCAAAAAGAGTGCTGACCCCAAGTTTAGTTCAGTTAGAATGCAAAACAGCTTAACATGCGTGGTACTTCCAAGGTCCTCTATGCACACTGAGACCACCTCTTTCAAACAAATATAATTTCCATCACTCGCAAAATTAATAGCCATTGGACAAGTTAGTTAGAAAGAACTCAGTTTCTCCTGATTTTTCGCTGACTCTTTAAGTTGACTTATCTTTTACACAGTAAAAATTCATCATAACACTTCCATGTCATCGGAAAACTTATCTAGAAATGTTATCCCAAAGGCACGTCAAAAAATGCACAACCAGAATGTTACTTTAACAATCACTTCAGTCTCTAAAAATATCGCCCAGGTACGAATTTTGTAAAATTGGAATTGGCGCTTTCTTCAACATGCGCACATAAACTATTGTTCTGTGGTTGATTTTTGACAGAAAGCAAGTTCATCTATAAAGGCGCTCTAAATTTGAAGAAAGCGGCCGTACTGTTTTTCCTATCTGTTTATCGCGAATGTACTTTAGGCAGGTGGATGCGAAAACTCGTCACTGAAAAACTACACATATTGTACTTGTATGTTACTTTACGGTAAAGAAAATTCACCAAAGGTCTGTTTTAACCGAAAGCACCGAATTAATTTTTAATCACGGTTCAGGCGTTACCTGTGCTCTTTTTACTGGAAAGCAAGTATGTGGTAAAGTAAATCATTTATATGTGAGTTTACCATGCTGGCGGCACAAGCACTAGCTAGAAGCCCAGAGAGGAAACACGCGAAACACAGTAGGTGATGGAGTTATACCCAATTATAAGCATCAAATTTGGGTCTATGTCTCTGCAGAGTTTAAATATACTGATATTTACCGAGGACAAAAATACATGTATATGAAAATACAAATCTTAATTCATTTATGATATTAAGTGCACATAATGCTTACTTTGTGGTTCTGGATAATGTTTTTAAACCATCTTGAGAACATGTTAACACTAAATATTGCTTGGCTCGCAGCTGACAAAAGTGGGGACGTAATAAATCCACACTGGTCTTTCGTAAGCACTGTTCTCGAAATTATCAGAGATATTGCAAGCGAATACGAATCGCCTGCGATTTCTTCACATGCATTTCTGTGAGTCAGCCCCAAGCTTCGATCAATGTTTTCTCGTTGGCTGCTCACCAAGCCTAGTTGACGGCGAACTAACTGTTGGTGTGCCCTTCAACGTATTGGCCTTCGTCTTACAGTGAGGCCCGTAAGTACACACTCCTGTACTCACTTGTGCTCACGCTTGTTCACGTCGAATCCAGGTGCTGCATGTCATATCACTTGCAATAAGCAAAATTCGCTTGCGCAATTTTGCCAAGTCGCTCACTGCACTACCACTTGACTGCCAAGTCAAAAACATTGCAAAAATTCTTGAATGATACCCTGGCAAGATAAGGTTTAGTAGAGCGCGTAAGGTACCTCTAAGCCCAGGACCCTCTCTGACGAGACCGCTGATAATAGGGTTTGTATGGCTGGGGCATTGCTGTGGCGCAGTAGAAAATAAATGAATGAAATGAATGAATGAATGAAATGAATAAATGCAACAGGGAACAGCGGATAAAATATGCATAATTAGCTAGAAAATATATAACGAACAAGCGTGGGATAACTAAAACATGAACGAAAGGTTATTTTCGAAAATGGGGACTTGATATCAGTCTGAATGTACTTCAAGGTTTCCAGAAAACTGAACGCGAAACCGACTTAATCGAATGCGATAGTTCCAAAAGATGGGGCGCGAAACAAATTAGGCGTCGCGTAGTAGTCACTCGGTGCAAATCTTCGGTGATTCTTAAACGTTTCCTAGTGGGCATTCAATGTTTTAGGCAAAGCAAGTGAGTGTGGTATTGCTGCAGGCAGTTTTATTGTAATCAATCGAGCCCAGGCTGGAAAGTTTACCTAGAGAGTTGCGTGTTACAAAACTTAGGCAAAGTGTGTGCCGATTTCTAATCTTTTTCCGTGTGGGGAGTGCAATAAACTAAGGCAGAGGAACCAGGTTCAACGCTAAGGAAAAGTGCACCAACACTCAGCAATTGAGTGCAATTCGGCGAGTCCAGCTATGGGGAAATGCGGCTGAAATACCCTAAATAGGCATATATTCGCGTTCCATAAGGCGTATAATAGTTATTAAAACGTGTTTAGCTAGTATATTAAGTTATGTGTGCAGCATAACCTACTGTTAGCTTAACGATTAACAATATCAAAAATACGTATTAGCGTAGAATAGTGTAAGGAAAAAAATCTGTTTACTTTCTCCTGTCTATTCTCCACTACTTCTGCACACAACATAAACTAACCCTTCTACCTGGCATTCCACTTCTTCTCTTTACCAATACAATCGGGCCTAACTATCAGAGAGGCAGTCTTTCTCTCGATAAACTTAATCCACTGCGAATATTTATCTAGCAAACCACGTACCTGGTCCCTTATTTCCTACAGCGTCAAATATAAAATAAGTAAGGTCTGGCAACTTCAGAAAATTAACCCAGAGGAGGTTTGTTGCTTCCGGTGAAGGATATGGCGGCAGATCTTGGGCAGCAGCCATCTACACCCTCCCAAGAGTGTTACCTCAAGAAGCTGAGCGTCTCTGTGCTGTCACCTCTGCCAGAACGGAGAGTCTGATCGGAAATAATGCCCACGCAGTTAAGTGCGGAAACTTTTGTCGGGGCAGAGCCAAGGAGAACCACCGGCTTTACCTATCCTTTGCAAGTATTAACCGGCATTTATAACTGTGGCAACTGAAAACGCTAAAACTGGTAATAGCCATTTGCGCAGCTTGCCCAAGGAGCGAAGATATTTATCCTTTGGCAGAAAAATTATGTCGGGATTTCCTAATTGTTAACTGCCTGACTTTTAAATTCGTCGGTTAGCCCAATGTTCTGGTAAAAGGAGAAATGCTAGAAGATGTGGGGTTCGCCATTCCGACAGCTGAAGTAAATGAGATATTTATCTATTTAATTTGAGACCTATATTCTGCAGGTATTTCAGTTTATTGTCATCACTGTCGTTTAGTATGGTCAATGGTAGCTTAACTACATGCACGTCTTCTCACCCTTCCTCCAGCTGTCCCTTCTCCTTCTCCCCCTTAGAAAGGCCACATCAAACCCAAACTCTCGCTTGATTAATTGTAT